GACCGCAGAAAATGAAAAGAAAATTAGATCCTCAAAAGATGAGCCCAATAAGGGGAAAGATAATTCTTCTGCGTCCAATGTATTGGAAAGTAAAGCAAGAATGAGAATGTAAAATAGAAAGACACAAACACTAGTCAAACGAAGTCAGCGGTGTAGCGGCGGAAGAATCTCCCTCTTGTTGGAGTGTCCTACTCCGCGTGAAATGCATAGTCAATGTGGTGGGGTTTGTCAAGTGATCCGATGGCGGGCTTTCGGTAGGCCTGGATAATAACAGCTCATTACAAAAAGAACAATGTCTGTCTTTGTTCTCGACAAGCTTACGCGCTAAATTTATCGATACACAAAAGGCATTTTTGATGAAACCTCAAAAGAGTATTAAAAGTTTAGGATACTTCATGTGGGACATACTGTTACCCACGCCATACGACTGTGCGGAAGTAATGTCCCATGATTTAATCGCAAAGGACCATATCGTACGCACAGAATACCCAGGATGGCGTAGGACCAAGTAGTGGTATATGAGATTCCTGATTATATTCTCGAAGAGCACTTAGCGGTATTATTGTATGCTGCATGACCAATTAGTAAGTGTTACTCCAGAATATGAAATGGATGAGTGGGGGTTCGAATTGATGCTGAACCAAGAAGCCTGATGTTATTCTGACGTAGTGGTGAGCAGATAAATTGTTTTTTTAATATTTGTTAACCACTCAGAAAGCGCTTTACAAAACTCAGTCTAGAGTCTATGTTTTGTTTTGCTTATTGTAAACAATGTACGTGAAGATATACGAGATAATTTTAATATTTATTTTCCAATGAGAAGTTAAGGTTTTCTGAAAATATGTATGAAGGTGTGAACCGCTTTTTGCACGAAAATCGACATTGAGGAAAAGGGGTAGCGGAAAGCTAAATCCTCAAAAGATGAGCCCAATAAGTGGAAAGATAATTCTTCCGCACCCGACGTAGAGGAAAGTAAAGCAAGAATGAGAAAAGAGAAAGGCCCGAATATTTCTATGGTGAATGACGAAGAAGCGGCGAGTCCCCTTTTTATCCTCCCGACCTGAAATGCTTAGTCAATGTGGTGGAGTTTGTCGAGAGATCCAATGATATCCTCCTGTTAACCTGGATGCAAAAGAACTCATTGTAAAAAGAACAGTGTCAGTCTTTGCGATCGACAAGCTTACGCGCAAAATTTATCGGTACACAAAAGGTATTTGTGATGAAATCACTGATTTCCTTGGTGTGTAAACCTCAACAGATTATTAAAAGTTTAGGATACTTCATGTGGGACACACTGTTACCCACGCCAGACGATTGTACGGAAGTAACGTCCCATGATTTAATCACAAAGGACCATATCTTACGCACAGAATACAGAGGACAAAATAGGACCAAGAACACATAGGTTTGCTTTGGTTTCTTTTACGGTATATCAACCTCAATGGGTCATTTAATGCCGACAAGATTTTTATTCTTCTTCAAATATGTGTTGCTGCTAATAATATATTGCTGGTATTGAAACCTACTTTTACACTGTAAACAGGTGCTACCACCCCGGGTCAGGGTGAAGCTGGAAACACCAGCAATTAAGAGGTCATTCCACGCTCTTCACAACATCCTGATCAGATGCCTTGCTGTTGGATGTAGTTTATCGTCTTACCCAGGACGGGAGCACTTAGGGGTATATCTTACCGAGGATGGCGTAAAACCAAGGTGGCGGTATATGAGATTCATGATTATATTCTCGGAGAACACTTAGGGTTATATCTTATCCTGCATAACCAATTAGTGAGTGTTAATCCAGAATATGAGATGGATGAGTGGGATTTCAAATTGATGCCGGACCGAGGAGCCTTAACCTTAATTCCTAACAGCTTGGAGATAGGCGGGAAAACCAGCTTGTTGGTAATGTGGCGTGATTAGTCATCTCACCCTTTCCTTTCTATAGAGAGCACTAAAGCTAACTTTTCCGTAGGATATCGGGTCTCACGATTGACGGTCACATTAGGACTGAAATGGCCCAGGCCGTTGGTACCCTCTGACCGACAATTTTTAAGGCAGCCGGCCAAACCTAGAAGATCTGACAATGTCACATTTTTAACTAGTTTGCATGTCATTTCCTTGAATGCTGTATGTACTTTTGTCTCCGGATTTGACGAGCAGGATTTCTGTCGTGGGCGCCACCATAAAAGTTCAAGCATTTAGTTTCATTGGGCTTTATGCATCCAACAACTCTAGGGAGCTGGCAGCTTTTCTTCGCAGGATCAATCCTTTTCTGACGACATCTCGTCGGGTAATTTTAGTGGGTGACTGGAATGCCGTGATCGATCCCGATATAGATCGTTCGGGTACTAGATTGGGTACTAACAACCCGGATGTAAAACCGTTTTGGGATTTTATCGACAGGCTGAATCTTATTGATAAGTTCAGGAATGAGCTTCCCCGGGAGGAAATGTGGACTTGGACTAATAGAGGAGGCTCGGCTTCGGTACAAGCTACATTGGCCGAATCTTAATTAGCAGAGTCGACTTAGAGCTGTTAGGGTGTTGAATTCATCATTCTATAGTTTATTCGAACCATAGACTTGTTTCGGTTTGCCTAAACTTAGAGAAGCCTACTTGTTTCAAGGAACCCGTAATGGGCCTGTTTGCGGCTGGCTCAAAAGGCCCCAGTTGAGATTTGGCCTCCTTACTTATCAAGAAGGACTCAAATTTTATAGTAACGATTAAAAATAGATAGATTAAAAAAGTATGTCTTTCGAGACAACAAATATGGCCGCTGACTTTCGACCTGTAGACAAATATAGCGGTAGTGTTACATTGTCGGATGGAAGTACCGTGACTACAATAAACGGTACATTCGAGACTTTTCTATCTTGCTTTCTGAATCTTTTTACCAGGGAGCCCGGTTTGAGCCCGGATCAGTTTGACACCTAATTAGGTGACTTTTCTCGCCTCGAAGCGACAGAGTACGAGGGTCCAATGTAATGTAATGTGGCGTGATTTCCTGCCCAGAGAAGAAGGCCTCTGGAATTTCGTCTAAGTGTGATATAAATCACTCACGAGCTGAAACGTTCGGCGGGCTAGATTAAAAAGATGCCTTTTAAGTGAATAAATATGGCCGCCAAATTTCGTCATGAAGAATTTCGGAGTATCGTAGACCAAGGCATCATTGGAGTTGCATTACCGGATGGGACTACCGTGACTACAAACAGCGGCATATGTGAGACTTGGCTATCTTATTTTCAGGATCTTTTTACCGGGGAGACCGGTCTGACTTTCCTCGCGTCGAGGCAACATGAAGCGGCAGTTTGCGAGGGTCTGGTCACAGATGTAGAAGTATCTGTATTGCGTTTAAGCATGTCGGCAAAGACACGACTCCGGGTATCGATGGTCTCCCTTATCTTATGCTGCATAACCAATTAGTAAGTTTTACTCCAGAATATGAGATGAATGAGTGGGGGTTCGAATTGATACTGGACCGATTGTCTACCCTATGAGATGTATTCGAGGTAGTCGCGCATGTTTGTCCTGGAACTGATGACACTATTGGCATTTAACCAATAGATAAAAAACAGGAATATTCCCGAACGCATGACCAGAGGTGGGATCAAGTTGCTTTGGCAAGAATAAATATTGAGGGGATACGGGGTTCTTGGGTGGTAAGTTTTTCCTTGAATGCTGTATGTACGTTTGTCTTCGTGGATCTGGCGGTTAGGTTTTGTGTCGTTTCCTGCTAAAAGTCAGGAAATAGATACAGATTGGAGAGAGTTGGCCTTTTGTGCTTATCATGAAATACCAAGATTTTGTAGTTAGGGCTTTATTAAAAAGGATGTCTTTTGAGGCAGTAAATATGGCCTCTGAATTTCGGCCTGAAGAGGTTCGGAATATCGTAGACCAATATATCACTAGCGTTGCATTGGGATTACCGTGACTACAAACAACGGTACATTTGAGACTTTTCTATCTTATTTTCAGGATCTTTTTACCGGGGAGGCCAATCTGACTTTCCTCGCGTCGAGGCAGCTTGAAACAGCAGGGTATGAGTGTCCGATCACAGATGTAGAAATCTGTAATGCCTTTAAGCATGTCGACAAAGAAACGTCTCCTGGTATCGATGGTCTCCCCTATAAGGTGTACTTGAATTAGTCGCACGTGTTTGTCCCTCTGCTGGCACTGGTCTCTAACCAATACATGAAGAACGGAAGTCTTCCCGAACGCGTCCCCAGAAGAGTGATCAAGTTGCTTCGCAAAAATAAACACTGAGTGGATAGGATGAATAATTTCCAGCCCTTAACCATGGTGAATACAGAATTCTAGTCTTTTACACAAACGCGTTTTAATTTTTTCTATATTTTTTCTATTTTTCCCAAGATTATATTTTTCTATATTTTTCGTAAAATATTTTTTTATATTTTTCTAAGAAACTTTTTCAGGCAAAATTTTACAAATGCACGAGCAAAAAAAAAAAAAAAAAAAAAAAAATAAGTATTTAAAAGAAATTTAAATGAAAAGGATGCCAACTTACGTTTTGTTATAGGCGATATCATCGTACATCATAACAATGATCCGTTTATCTGGAATTCCATTTTTGTGTAGAATTTGATATGCGTGGCAAACATCAGCCTGTGCCCGAAACAAAAAGCCGAAAGTAAAAGCCAAAAAAAAAAAAAAAAGATTTCAAACTCAACAAAGAAAAAGAGAGAAAAATATTTTAATTAATTCAAAAGAATCAGTATGTTGATTTTCTAATGAGGCTATGCAATTCCTTTAATTGATTAGTGACTCGCTAAGAGGATTTATTCAGAGATGATGTAAAATCTTCTCAAATCTCTTATTCCGAGAATTAAAAATGGCGCAACCCTCTTCTCCTTCTCTTCAAAATTTGTCCCTTTTGCTAAGCCTTTCACGACCCTCGTTCCATCATCCATTAGCAAAAGCTCGTCAGTTATATGCAACTGCAATGGAATACCTGTGTGTTATAATCTTGGTTTCCAGGTCACGATCATATCACATAGAAACACCGGTTCTCCTACTATCAGCGAAGTTAAGCAACGTCGAGGCTGGTCAATATCAGGATGGCTGACCTTTTGGGAATATCAAGTGCTGTAAGACTGGATGTCCGACTGCTATGGCTTGCGATCATATCGTGGTGAAATACCGGTTCTCGTATGATCGCCAAAGTTAAGCAACGTCGAGGCTGGTCATTATCCGGATGGCTGACCTTTTGGGAATATCAGGTGCTGTAAGATTGGATGTCCGGCTGGAATGGCTTGTGATCATATCGTGGTGAAATACCGGTTCTCGTATGACCGCCAAAGTTAAGCAACGTCGCGCTTGGTGGTGACCGTTTGGGAATATCAGGTGCTGTAATCTTAGAAGTGCGGGTGGTGCAGTCGGCTACATCTTTCTGTCGAAAGTCAGCAACACTGGACCACATGTAGTCATCTATATTTATTGGTGGTATTGGAATTATATCGTTATATATAATGTTAAAGAGTAAATCTTCAGTGGATCCTCAATCCAACTACTATGTCGTAAGTTGTACTTAAAAATCTTATCGCCCGTTTCATTTTCCTCCTCGGTTTTTCTGAACAGGATTAGAGGTTGGACCCTTGTTTCCATTTTAGATTCTTACTTACATATTGAAACACCAGTTTTGTTCCATCACCAGCATTAAGCGATATCAGACCTGGTTATTACCTCGATGTATAACTGCATTGCAAGATCTGGTGTCATAATATTTGTGTCGGGGTGCTATGAGCTGGCGGTCATATCACATAGAAACCCCGGTTCTCACAGGATCACTGGAGGTAAGCACCGTCGAGCCTGGTCAGTATCTAGATTGGTAACCGCTTGGGGATACCACGTGCTGTAAGCTTGGATGACCGGTTGGTATGACTTATGGTCATATCGTGTTGAAAGACCACTTCTCGTATGATCGCCGAAGTTAAGCAACGTCGCGCTTAGTCAGAACCTAGGTCGGTACGGAACTGCCCCCAAATAACTGGGTGCTGAGGAGGTGCGGGTTTTATAATCCGCATTCATCTCAGTTCATGAGGACTCTCCAAATATTATTTAACCATTTATTTCCTCTTTTTTGCCCTTTTTTTTCAAAGTTTGTCTCTTTCCTCTCACCAAACTTGTTCCAACATCCATTCGCACAAGCGATTCAGTTAGATGACTCGCAGACTACCCCTGGCCTATTTTGCTTGCGATACATCCTGTGAGTGTCAAATTCTCCAAGCCCTTACTTAGGGTGAAATGATTAAAAACAAACAAATAAATAAAAATAAATTTGCATAATTATATGTGATAATGAAATTTTTCCGCTGGTAATATAAAAAGGAAGACTTACTTGATGTCTGTAGTTCTTCCAGCCATTTGACCCTGCTACGAGTAAAGCCCAACGGACACCTCCATTTTCTAACTTGGATAATGGAGGCAGAATGTATGCGTCGGTAATTTTGGACAACGCTATGGCGAGTAACAGAATAATGATTCTAAACGACCACATCGTGAATTAATAAAACATTGGCAAGAGATCTTCAGTGCCTGACGGTGAGCGGTCCCTTCTCGTGTACAATTGTCAATTTTAATTTATGTATAGTCTAAGTAATGGTCACTGATAAGAACTGTTGTCATGGTTTTGCATAGCTACTACGCTAAGTAAATTTACTGATCAAATTTTTAAAGAGAGAAAGTGAGGGATTTCAATTTGAGAATTTTACAGCCAATTATCACAATGTCATTGGGTATGGAATTGCCCCCAAAATACTGGGTGCTGAGGAGGTGCTGTTTTCATCATCTGCATTCATCTCAGTTTATGAGGTCTGTCCAAAATTATTAACTTCCTCTCGTGTGTTTACCGTGTCCATTCAGGACGTGGACGTTCATAGCATTTCGCAACCTCCTTCTCCTTGTTGCCCTTAGCAATGTTTGTTACTTGCCTCTCACCAAATCGCAGACTTCCCCTGACCCGTTTTTCTTGCGATATATCATGTGAGTTAGCCGTTTAAACAAAATATAACAGGGAATTTCATTTGACCCTGGAGGGTGTATCAACGGAGACCCAGTGGAAATAATTCTGAAAAAAAAAGACGCTTCACCTTACTTTTCTCTCACTTTCATCCTCTGTAGACCCATGCATACTAGTATAACCCCTTACGACCATCACCCACTCGACTCTCGCGGGTCCGTCAGGTCCGGCAGATTTACAATCGGCACCAAGTGACAACAATCGATTCTCCAGGCGGGTTGTGAATTTTCTGACCTGAACATTGGTTTCGTCGATCCTGAACCTACGGGGTCTGTTGAGTGTGCTGACGGCGGGTATATTAGTAAAAATGCCCAATGCATTGGAAAAATCAATACCATTACAGAAGACGATAAGGAAAAATACGATTTTGAGATCTATGCCATTGACTGAGTCAAGGTGGGAGAACTGATTTTCTAGAAAAATGTCTGTAAAAATTAATTTCGTGAATCATTTAAACAAAATGTAAGAGGGAACTTCATTTGACGTCGGAGGGTCTATCAATGGAGACTCAGTGAAAACAATTCTGAAAAAAAAGGTTTCACCTTACTTTTCTTTAACTTTCACTCTCTGTAACCCCTTGCCTACTAGTGACAATCCTACCTTTCATGGGGTGAAATGATTAAAAAAAATATATAAGTAAATAAACATAAATTTGCCTAATTGCATGTGATATTGATATTTTTCCGTTTGTAATATAAAAAGGAAGACTTACTTGATGTCTGTAGTTCTTCCAGCGATTTGACCCTGCTACGAGTAAAACCCAACGGACACCTCCATTTTTCAATGGAGGCAGACTGTATGCGTCGATAATTTTGGACAACGCTATGGCGAGTAACAGAATAATGATTCTAAACGACCACATCGTGAATTAATAAAACATTGGCAAGAGATCTTCAGATCCTGACGGTGAGCGGTCCCTTCTCGTGTGCAATTGTCAATTTTAATTTATATATAGTCTAAGTAATGGTCACTGATAAGAACTGTTGTCATGGTTTTGCATAGCTACTACGCTAAGTAAATTTACTGATCAAATATTTAAAGAGAGAAAGTAAGGGATTTCAATTTGAGAATTTTACAGCCAATTATCACAATGTCATTGGGTACGGTATTGCCCTCAAAATACTGGATGCTGAGGAGGTGCTGTTTTCATCATCTGCATTCATCTCAGTTTATGAGGTCTGTCCAAAATTATTAACTTCGTCTCTTGTGTTTACCGTGTCTATTCAGGACGTGGACATTCATACCAATTCGCAACCTCCTTCTCCTTGTTGTAATGGTCACTGATAAGAACGGTTGTCATGGTTTTGCATACCTCCTACGCTAAGTAAATTTACTGATCAAATTTTTAAAGAGAGGGAGTGATTAATTTCAGTTTGGGAAATTCACGTCCAATTATCAAATTGTTACTGGGCATGGAATTGCTCCCAAAATTGCTGAGGTGTCAGTTTTTATCATCTGCATTGATCTTAGTTCATGAGTTCTGTCCAAAATTATTTAACCATTTACTTCCTCGTTTGTGCTTGCTGTGTCCCTTCAGTACGTGGACGGTTCATAGCCCTTCACAACCTCCTTCACCTTATTGCTCTTAGCAGCATTTGTCCCTTTGTTAAGCTTCTCACACCCTAGTTCCATTATCCATTCACACAAGCTCGTCAGTTTTATGGCTTGCAGACTTCCCTGTTCCCTATTGCTTTCGATATAACCTGTTGGTGTCAAATTCACCGAGCCCTCATCCTCATTATATGCCCAAAGAAATTTCATCAGTTTCTTTCTGGTTCTCGTTATCAGTGAACTTTTTTTTTCTGTGTCCCTGAAGACTTCTTTGTTGATTACTCGCTTCGCCCAGGGAATTCTCAGTATCCTTCTGTAGAACAACCTTTCTGTTTCTTCCAGTTTTCTCACTATATATTAGGAGATTGTCGAGCAGTCATGGCAAATAAAAGAAGATTGATCTTCAATGAATTTCTTTCGACAGATAGCAAAAGTAAGCAACATATCAACAGTTTTATTTATTTCTGTCGACAGTCTGCCATACTGAGTAACATGTGGTCATAGTTGTTTCTGTCGACATTTAGCAACACTAACCAACATGTGATCATCTACATTTATTTTTGTCGACAGTGGGCGACACTAAGCAACAAGTGGTCATCTATATTTGTTTTTTTGACAATGAGCAACACTGAGCCACATGTGATCATCTATATTTATTCGTGGTATTGTAATTATATCGTTATATATAATGTTAAATAGAAAATCTTCAATGGATCCTCAATCAACCTACACTGTGGTACGTTCTTAATTAGACGTTGAACCCTTGTTTCCATTTTAAGAGATGCTTACGTACAAATCACATTGAAAAACCGCCTTTGTTTCCAACATCGAATTTAAGCAACGTCAATCCTGATCAGAACTTAGATGGGTAACTGCATTGGAATACGTAGTGCTTTAATCTTGGTGTTGGAGTGGTATGGCTCACGGTCATATCACATAAAAACACCGCTTCTCCTACGATCACCGAGGTTTAAGCAACGTTGAGCCTGGACAATACTGGGATGGGTGTCCGCTTGGGAGTACGAGTTTGGATGTACGGTTGGTATGGCTTGCGATCATACCGTGTTGAAAGACAATCGATTTCGTTTTATTCACTTTCACGGAAATGGCGTTGTTAAATGTAGATATCCACTTATTCTCCTCCAGATGTGGGTTAAACAGTAAGAATGTTATCACAAAACCATTATCATATCAAGAATAAGAAAATACCACAGGAGGGGGATGTTACATCATCATAAATTATGATGATTGCAAGCACTTCCGGTACCAGTAGGGAATTATGGGTTCAAGACTTATACAGCGGGTAGTTTAAATAAATGCGTTTTCGAGTTTACCTCATTTCGTATAGCTTCGGATTTTCAGCGGTCGGTCTCATATAACTTTCTAGCCTAAACGCAATGGAACATAAATATCCAACTGAAATGCACCGAAAATAATGAGTCAGTCTGCAAGAATCTCCGTGTTCTGTTATTACATACGGTTTTATAATGTTATATTGAAAGGACACTGCAGTCTAAAAAGACAATACAGTTGGACCAGTGTAAGCAGCCAGTCTCATATATCATTCTACCCTAAACCCAATGGAACATATATATCCTACCGAAATGCACCGAACTTTATGAGGCAGTCTGCAAGAATCTCCGTATTCTGTTATTACATACGGTTTTATAATGTTATATTGAAACGGCTCTGCAGTCTTAAAAGACAATACAGTTGGACCAGTGTAAGCAGCCAGTCTCATATATCATTCTACCCTAAACCCAATGGAACATATATATCCTACCGAAATGCACCGAACCTTATGAGGCAGTCTGCAAGAATCTCCGTGTTCTGTTATTACATACGGTTTTATAATGTTATATTGAAACGGCTCTGCAGTCTTAAAAGACAATACAATTGGACCAGTGTAAGCAGCCAGTCTCATATAATATATCATTCTACCCTAAACCCAATGGAACATATATATCCTACCGAAATGCACCGAACCTTATGAGGCAGTCTGCAAGAATCTCCGTGTTCTGTTATTACATACGAATATATAATGTTATATTGAAACGGCTCTGCAGCCTAAAAAGACAACACAGGTGGACCAGTGTAAGCAGCCAGTCTCATATAATATATCATTCTACCCTAAACCCAATGGAACATATATATCCTACCGAAATGCACCGAACTTTATGAGGCAGTCTGCAAGAATCTCCGTGTTCTGTTATTACATACGGTTTTATAATGTTATATTGAAACGGCTCTGCAGTCTTAAAAGACAATACAATTGGACCAGTGTAAGCA